CCAGAGTATAAGACAACTTTCTAAACCATGCAAATCTTCTCTGAAGTCAGGGGTCGTCTTATAGGCCGGAAAATACTGTATATTCCGGCATATAAGATGACTTTCTAACCATGCAAATATTCTCCGAAGTCGGGGGTCATCTTATACGCCGAGTCGTCTTATACGCCGGAAAATATTGTATTTCTAAACTGCCCATCTCCCTCAAAGAAGGACTCTGAGCAGTGTACTATATTCAATATTGGGTGTAGTTAAAAGAATGGGAGTTGCAAATTTCCAGAATGCCAGCTTGTTTAATTTTTTTCTAAGTATGTTCCCTTTTTAAAATATATTGATAAGAAGATTTTCTGAGTTGTTTCTTTCTGTTTAAGGTTAGAAGAAAATATAGGAGAGAAAAAGATAACTGCAAAGTATTTTTTCATAATTTGAAAATATCATACCAAAACCTCTTTGTAAAACAAAACAAAGAAATGTATTTGCATACTGAAGAGCTATCTTCTAGAAAAATAAAAATATAAGCTTATAAATTTTAAAAGGGCCCATACAAATACTGATGGCAGTTCTGTTCATGATGGTTTTAGAAGGCTGTTTTCCTATTTCTATAGTTAAGAAAGTGAAATAATTCTTTCGTAGAAACCCAACTGTGGAATGTTCCCATATAAATCTTTTCAGCAGCTGATTTTAAAAAGCTGATGATGTCTGCTTACAAATTTGGTTCAGGATTTTAATTGGTGAACCAGAAATAATGAAATAAGATCCGTAGATCATTGGAACCAGACTGGGTGAGATAAAGAATTATATTCGTATTAGTGTGTTGATTCCCCTTTTTAGAAAAGGGGGAAAAGAAAGCAATGGTTAGGGACAAGAAAAAGTTCCAACTCTCAATTCTAACAGAGAGAGCTTTTAGGGTGGTGGTATTAGGTTGTGAGAATATATATACTTGAAGATTAAACAACCCTCTTTCCTCTCACACTACATTATTTACCCATACCCGCTCAAGAGCTCAGATTTCAAGTTGAAGGCTTTATAATTTAACAAAGTTCTTCTTTTCCTTTCCTCTCTCATCTTTTTTATTCCAGGAATAAAGTTCCTGTTTCAGTTACAAGAAATTTAGAATAGCCTGTTTCAGATCCACTTACATTAAATAAATTTATTTAATTTATTTAAAGCATGTGGGTCTCATACTTGAAGAGAAGGACATTTGTAATAGGTTACAGTTCAATAAAAAACAAGAACACTTCTGTCCTCAGGCTTACAGTCTAAAAATATTTAACATAGAGACAAAAAAGGCATTGAGATGCAGGAATGGAAACCAAAAACACAGGGCTATGCTGCTTATATTATATAGTTTTTTACAATGATAATTTAGACAGAAACTGGGAATTTATTTGTCTTAAGTTCTTGATCTTGGGTCTCCCAGAATTAAACCTATTAATGTGATATCCTTGAAAACAGCTATATACAACTTGATGTTATTAGTCTTATGAATAAGCCTAAGAGAAGTATTCTAGATTAGGGATGTCAAACTGTCGGCCCGCGGGCTGGTTTCATCATACTGGAGCCGTGCTCACCCCATTGCCGGCAATGGCGAAAAAGCTCCGATACACTGTGTGATGTCACATGATGTCGCAACTTTGACATGTCTGTTCTAGATTATCATTCTTTTTTGCTCAAAGTATATCCTTACACTCTTACTTCTCTTTTGTACAGAACAACTAGTTTCAATTTCCAGAATGAAAGAAGCTCAGGTGAGAACAACAGAAACGTCTACTTCAGTTTTCACAAATAATTGTTTTATACATACATTTTCAATGCATTATTTTTAAGAAGGATATCTTTCTTATTAAACAATGGGACAGGGAATTCCCTTAACTGAAACATTCTTCTGAAAAGGTAAAGTTTCACTCAAGACAAGCTCAACTCCTCTTGACTTTATAGACATATCTCTATTATCTTGGTCATAATGAAGAAGTTCTTGCTATTGCCTTCTTCGAGAATATTTTTTGAAACTTCCCAGTTTTGTCATTAGCTCTGGGATTTCTTCAAAGTTTTCCCATCATATTCTGACTATGTATGTAGCTAAATCCTACTACTGGCTATTACATAGCATTCCACCAACACAGGCCTAATTAATACCTAATATTTTTCCATGCTTAATTTTTGTAGAGAACAATGATTCTTAAGCTTATTGATACCTGGTGCAGTGATTAGCAATATATATTGTGCATTTAAAAATGTTGTTCTATGTCTCATCTGGCCTGTTTTACAAATTGTAAAACTAATGAAAAGCTGACCTTACTAGTTGAAGAGTCATATTTCTGAATAGATTTTTGAAAATGAAAACTCATTAGCCAATGATTCTCTATATCCAAACCAGAATTTTCGGGAGAAAAAAGTAATTATTTTTATCTGACACACCCCAAATAAAATCAATATTAGTTTACATTGGAGGAGCTGTCCATGGTCCTTATACATTTCTTTAAAAAACTTAAAAAATAAACCCTGAAAGCTCTGTCAGTATAAATGGTTTTCTCTCTCAGAAAATTAATAGAAACTATATCATTTCTTTTATTGCCTTCACAAAGTCTATATCAACAATTCCACTCACAACCTATATTTATCCATCATTAAAAACACACTAAGTCTATTGTCGTGCTTTATAAATACCCCCTTAAGTGAGCTTTTAAAAAATAAAATTCTCATCTGAGGTTTGAAAATTAAAAATCATCACCACAGATCTAATTCGAAAACTGCCAGAGCTATGTGTTCCAGAGGTATTGCCTGTTTGAAGGAACTATTGCAGAACCTCAAATAATTAAAAAAAAATCCTAAAAAAGAATATATAGAATAAATCAATAAAGCTATGTATGTTCACATGAGTAACAATAATCCGAGGCCTTATGTAGCACTATTCATGGACAATGGAGAAATGGCTAAGACCCAAAGAAACTGAGATTAAAAAAAAGACCATGTTCATGACTAAGCATTCTCATTAGTCATAGAATTCTTGAGACGGAGAAGGAATATTGAAAGAAGAGGCCGATGGCTGGAACAATGAACAAAAACATTACATTCAGTAACATTTTACTGCAAACCTCATTAATTTTCAAGTTAATACTGAATTTAGGAATGTTGCAAAATTAAAAATAGAATTCTTTACATGGCTTGTTAAATGTTATTAATGACACCATAGGTATCTATAGGAAACTGAGACTGTATGAATATGACAAAACATGTACAGTGATGTCATGATGCAAAATCCATTCATATGTAGTGAGCTAAAGCCTAAATCTAATGCTCATATGTGATCAGCTAGAATTTCGCTGCTTGTAAGTCAGATTATGCAAACAAAAAGCAGAGGAAAGAGGCAACATTCTTCAAAATACTTTATATACTTTTTCTTATAAGCTTATAAAACTAGAAATAAACTATAAAATAAAACTTCAGTAACTACAGGTAATCCTCGACTTATGACTACAATTGAGCCCAAAATTTATGTTGCTAAGCAAGACATTTGTTAAGTGAGTTTTGCCCCATTGTACAACCTTTCTTGCCACAGTTAAGTGAATCACAGCAGTTGTTAAGTTAGTTATATACTTGTTAAATGAATCTGGCTTCTCCACTGACTTTGTCAGAGGGTTGCAAAAGGTGATCACATGATTCCAGGCAACCGTCATAAATGTGAATTAGTTGCCAACTGTCTGAATTTTGATCATGTAACCACGGGGATGCTGCAACGGTCGTAAGTATGAAAAATGGTCATAAGTCACTTTTTTCAGTGATGTAACTTTGAACGGTCACTAAATAAACTGTTGTAAGTTGAGGACTACCTGTAATTTCCCACTTTATACTGACTATTCACAACTCAGAACCAAACAGAAAGCTAAAAACTGCTCCTCTGGGATTAATATAAACCATAAAAAGACTTAAAGACTTCAAATTTGTAAAAATGAATCATTCTGTTAGGCTGAAAACCTCTTAAACAAAAAAACTGAAAATGTTTCTAACAAAGACGACATGAATTCAAGCATTAGCTTTTACAAGCATTTCCCAAATAAGCCTGACAGATCAGAAAATAATGTGGCAGAACATTAGAATATAGTCATATTCCATATTCCAGCAGATTTTAAGCAGCCCATGTATAGAGTGACACACTTCCAAAAGTCATGCATGATAATCCTTAAACTGAAAATGAAACAATATTGCCAATCAAAGCTCCATATCCAGTATATGTTTCTTATAAACTATGTCAAACATATTCACAATTATTCATACTGGAATGTACATACAGTGAATACAGAAGTTTTACCAGGCAGTATTTCCATACTGCCCAAGTGGAAAAGAGCAAACAGCAGCTTGCCTTTGGCAAATATTTAAAACCAGTGAACCGGTTTGGACTCGGCAATGTAGTGCTTTCAGAAGGTTTTCAATTACAATTCCTTTCAGCAGTTCCCTCCTCCCCCCCCCCAGGCAATGGGCCCAAGATAGTTATAGGTACAAAGGAAAATGCCTTTATCTACATCTACAGCTCTACATCTTGAGTTCACTAGTAAAAGTAGGTGTCTCACGAAATTAGAGACAGAGCCGCCTTCCAAAGCATACTTAAATCTTCTTATACACTATTGCAAGCCGCCAGACTACAGGCGTGGAAAGCGTGACCGAGCCTTTTTCATAACAGAGAAGAGGAAGGGGACGCGCAGAGCCGAACAAAGCCCCGCAGGCCCCGCTGGGCACAAGGAAAACTGGTGGAAAGCCGGCCTATGCTCTAGGGACGGGCGCTCCAGAAGGAGGAACGAAGCCCTGGACAGGAGCGCCGAGAAGAGGGCAGCGAGCTTTGCTGGGTCACGATCTCACTAAGGGAGCAGGGCAGAGTGGGCACTGGGGGAGGCCAAGCAGGCGGAGCTGCATCCAAACACAAAGCACGGAAGAGGCCACTTGAAGCGGAGCAGGGAGGGGGCGCCAGAGGCCGGAAGGAGAGACCGGGGGCCAAACGGAGCACTCACACATGAGGAGGCTGAAGGCCACAACCCCCAGGAGCCCCTGCAGGAAGATGCCGAAGCTGTCCATCAGGGCCCCGTTCTTGCAGCCGCGGTAGTCCAGCCCGGACCTCACCGTGGAGGCGGAGGAGGAAGCGCCGCCGTTCCGCCGGGGGTCCAGCTTGGGCGTGACAGCCACCGAGCCGTTGGGGGCAAGGGAGCCCCCCATGGCCCACTCGGCGCGGCGCGCGACAGGTGCGCGCGCGGCGGCCGGGAAGCAAGACGTAAGCCAGGCGCGCTCATATGCTCCGCGGCACTTCCTGGGCAAGGGGGAGGAGTTCCCCGCGCGTCACGGCACCGCCGCCGTGTGACGTACTTCCAATCAGGATTGGCTCGTGGGCGGTTTTGGGGCGCGGCTAAGGGGAGCAGGCTGTCCGCCAGTGCGGCTTTTCGTCTGGTTAAGTGGAGGAAGGCAGGCAGAGCCGTGGAGGTTAAGCGTCTCAAGGGTTGCGTGCTTCGTTGTTGGGGCAGGAGAAGAGCCGGGGTTCGGCGGTGGCCCTGCTTCTCTGCTTGCGTGCCTTCGGTTCCTAAAGGTTTTCCTCCGAGCAAACCTTTGTTTGGCTTAGGGCGTCTGCGACCGGCGAAAAGACGGACAGTTAAGCCGCTGAGCCTCGGCGCGCCAGTGCAGCTCTTTGGGGTTTTCTTTTGAGGACACGGGTTCAAAAACAGGTCGAGAGAAGGCGGAGCGCGGCGAAGCGCGAGGGAGGAAAACGGAATTTAATTACCGCTATGGGTATTTAATACTATGAATGCAATTCCGCCTACGGATAAGGATTGGAAGCTCGATTTTTATTTCGGACATTAGTTGTGTGTTTTTTAGGGCAACGATTTCAGGTATATATTACGAACGGCTGTGCCTATATTGACACGTATATATTTTGTATGATTAACCGTGGAAGCCTGTATTTGGTCTTTTCTCAAGATCCAATATAATCTGCATATTTTGCAGTCAAGTCTAAGGTAATGTGTTTGCTTTCATAAGTTCTAGGTTCCAAGAGGAACTGCAAATGACCAAATGCAATAACTCAGATATCAAAGATGGGTTTTTGTGCTAAGCTGTTTTTTTTTTCTTCTGTTCAATAATGTCCGATTTTCAAAGACTACCTTGGCAAGTCCATGCAGTTTTCTTGACAAGGTTTTTCAGAAGTGGTTTGCCATTGCCTCATTTCTAAGGCCGAGAGGAAATGACTGGTCCAAGGCCACCCAACTGGCTTTGTGCCAAGGTGAGATTAGAACTTATCGCCATCTTGTTTCTACCTGATATCTTAACCACTACACCAAAGTGGCTCTCAACCAAATATTAGCATATTCCAAAGTATGTATGTATGTTTGTGTGTTGTGTGTATATATACATATACACACACAATTTGGAATATGCTTGAGAAGCAGCAATCCCCAAGCTCTCCTGCCTTAAAAAAAGGAAGGAGGAATATCTGAATCTTTTCAACTCTGCTTAAATATTACACTGTTGTATCTTCTTTTCCTCACTCTGATATTTTCAAGGCAGTCTGTGTAATCAAACTATTTCTTGGTAGGCTGGGGTCTGCAGAAAGCTCTCCCTCCTTAACGTGGGCGTCACTTCAGAGATTTCCCCTTCAGAGCCTCAGGCAAGTTTGGGGGGAGGGTCCTATCTCCCCAGATTTTTAAATGTGGCAAAAGTGCCTGCAACTGGTTATCTCTGCAGTTTGAAAGTGGGGCAAGAATGTATGAAGAATGGAATAAGGAAATTCAGTGAAGTCCGAGATCACTTTTTCCTATAGATGACCTTGGTCCTCAAGATGCATGAAAGTGGCAGTGGAGAATTATTTCAGCAACCCTGGCTAATTTATATGTTAAGATTACAAGGAACCCTGCAATACAGATTTTCAGAAAAAGTAACTTTCACCCTGATACACTTAGGCAGTTTACAGTGGTCTAGTATTCAGATTCTGGCTCATGTGAGAACATGCTGCATGGTTGCAAATGTTGATGAGCCATGAATTACAAAACTAGCACATGAAAGTGGATTACTTTTGGCAGGGGGCAGCACAATTTGAAAGCTAATCTAGCCTTGTTAATATTTGGATGAGAGACCATCAGCAATTCTAGGGTTCAAATGGAGAAGTCAGAAAACAACCCACAGAAGCATCATGATAAATAAGGAATAATCTGTACCAGAAAGAAATAAAATTCCTCCTGTAGAAGACAAGAATGCATGTGATAGTTCCGGGCAGGTTGTAATTGACATTGAACAATGGCAACCCACCTCTCCCCATAATAAAATAATTGAAAGAGGATAACTTTGGAAGCAGTACTACAGGGGCATTCAGTAATGTAGTTATAAAATAAATATGCTGCAAAAATAAAGGCAAGATTTAGCTTTAGATACAATTAGAAAAAAAACAGGACAAGTTCTATTAGTTCCTTGGGGTTTTTCAACAAACTTAGATCAGAAATTATAGCTCTTTAATAGCTGTTAATAGTATCCCAGAAAATTGTCTAAATGTTGCTTTGAAACAAGGTATCCCATTCTATTTTTGTCAGTCATCTTGGGCATCAAATTCAATGTAAGATTCCATTGTCAAATTCTGAGATATCCTTGGGCCAGCTTGGGCTTTGCTGAACAGATACCTGATTCTGCAGCACAATGAAATTATGCAGTTTTGAACCCAGGATTAGCTTTCTAATAGCTTTCAAAACTGAAATCAGAAATCTAGATGGGAAGGATTATTCTACCCAATTTTGTTAAAATGTGACATTTATGCTGAAAGCAACAATATTGGTTTAAAATTAACTGACATTTGTAACAGAAGTGTTTCTCTGCAGATAGTGGGTGCTGTTAGAACTGAATGCTGTTCTCTTTTATTTCTCTCACTTCTTCTGGAGTCTTGTGCTGGTCAAACTAAACAGGAGTTGATGCAAAAACAGATGGTCCATTGTTCAAACTGAAGTCTGCTTATGTGGCCTTGAAAAATTCTGACATATTTCAAATCTATATCGGGGTTGCAAGTAAAAGAAAAAAAATGTTTTTCATATACAACCTCAATTTTAAATCAATCCCATTTTTCTGAAGTTTCAAATGTCTGATTTCTGTTATAGCAGCAGTTCTCAACCTTTGGTCGCGACCCCATTTGGGGTCGAACGACCATTTTACGGGGGTCGCCTAACAATGCAACCCTCCATTTTTCCTTCGGGGCGGTGCCGCGCATGTGCGCCGCGCATGGGGGCGGTGCTGCGCATGCACGCCATGCATGGGGGTGGTGCCGCGCATGCACGCCGCGTCCTTATGACCGGGTTCACTGTATAAAAAGGTTGAGAACCACTGTGTTATAGGTTTGCACAAGTCAAAACAGTGACTTGTTTCACTTTTATTTTTAATTAGATAAAAGCAATGTATTGTCCTACATTACATTAAAAGTTACTTCAAGGAATATTAGGATTAGAACCAACTTCTAGTGGTAATATGGAATACACACAGACCTCTGTCCAGTGTTAATAGTTTTCAAACATAATATAAAAATATCCTCTTCACTTTTGTGACTATCATTGCTCTTAATTTCTGTATGGTGTAATTATTGATACAAGTTTACTTCCATTCATTTTTTTTGAGGGGAAAGAATATAGCATCACTACACTGTTAGCACATTTTACCATTTGGGAAGGAATTCTGGAAAATTAGAATGCTTTCTAGTATAAAAAAAGTTATTAGCCTCACACAAATAGTGTCTGTCTGTAGGTTTGTGCTTTACTTGCTTTCAATGTGTTTTTCCAGAAAAAAAAGCACCACTGAACTTTGGGGGCTATATATGTGTGTGTGTGTGTGTGTGTATGTGTGTGTGTGTGTGTGTGTGTGTGTATATATATATATATATATATATATATATATATATAAACAGACATTCTATCTATCTATCTATCTATCTATCTATCTATCTATCTATCTATCTATCTATCTATCTATCTATCTATCTATCTATCTATCTATCTATCTATCTAGTAAAACAGACATACAGTTGAGCATCAAGTTGCCTCCAAACACAAGCTAACATATAATTAATGTTCCAAAGGAACTGTGCAGAGCCATCTGTTTTCTCCAATTTATATTTATGTTATGAACATAACTGTCCCTTAAACCCAAGAGTTGCCCCTTTTACTTTTAAACTTTTTAAAAGAAAAGATAAAAGAAACACAGGGAAATCTGTTACTGTAATTACTGGATCAGGTGGCAGTTTGAATTTCCAATGTTTCAGTGCAATAGCATTTCTCATTCTGTGTTAGCTGATGGGAGAAATGATACTGCATTTAATTATTTCTAAGTGCTTAAGCTTTAATGTGATAAAGGACTTATCTTACTTGTTTGTAACATTAGTATGGTACTATAACATATAACCAAATTAAAAACTGAATGAAGGAGAAAAAAGAGAAGGAACCCTAGAACTTGAATGTTTTAATTTTGTGTTATTATTTTAATGTGATAAAAGACTTATCTTACTTGTTTGTAACATTATGTGGTGCTATAAAATATAACTAGATAAGAATTGAGTGAGGGGAAAAAAACACAAGGACCCCTAGAATTTGAATGTTTTAATTTTGTGTTATTATTTTTGGATACTGGAAAACATCAATATTAGTTTTTTGAATGTGTGAGCATTTTTCAGCTGGAGATGTATAAAATAAATACAGTTGAAGTATCCAAAATGGAAATGTTTCTCAGAAAATTGTTATTAAGGTGACAATAGCCAATTTGCTCCAGGATTCGAAAACTGTAGTTGGGTTTTTTTGAAAAACAATATAAAATATTTGGAAATTCACATATACTGCTATGAATTTTCAAATCTACTTTTTCTTTAACAGTTAAATACTCCAAGCAGGCAACAATATCACAAAAGAAACTGGCATCAATTTAAGTATTTTTAATTTTCTTACAACCACTTAAAACGGTCATGAAGTACCACAAAATTATATACATTCATTTACAGAACAAGTCAAATAATCTAAAATATTTTAAAACCCTTTACCTGATGCACCTAGGCAACAAAGAAGGTGCTTCAGTAGACATTTTATGTGCATAACTTCTACTTTCAAAATGTTATCCTCAGTTCACACACACGCACACACATATATATTAATTAAAATAAAAATAAAAATACAGCAAGCAGAAAAGACAACACAATATACATTTTTAATCTTTTTTTTAGAGCAAAGCAGGAAAGTGCATGTCCAATGAGCTATTACAACTAAGAAATATGCTGGCAGTACCTGCCTTAGAGGCTCTTTCAGGAGATTTTGATTGTCTATGAACATTAAGGGAAC